TAGGTGACGGAGAAAAGAAAAAAACTTTGTGGGAATACAAGCAGAGAACGTTATCCCAGCTTGCGCATGCGCTGAGTTCAATATGTGCTACTCCAATGGAATCTACGGATTCAAAGATTTGTATCTGCATCTACTGCGCCTGTGTTAGGTTGACTCGAGTCAACTATTGTGTCTGCGACATGTGTATTCTGTATTCTGACTTGTCCAGAAACCTCTTGAGGCTAATACATTCTTAATTGCCCGTTCAAGCCGAATAGGATTCAGTGATATTACAAACGTAAGAACATTATGATATTACATTATTTCTAAATAATTTAAATCGATTATAGTGAACCCCACTATGTAAAAAAAAAAAAAAAAAAAAAAAAAAAAACGACAATGGAACGATAAGTATGCCGGTTATGGATTTACCTGCTCAACCGAAAAAGATGGCATGCAACGACCGCAGTGCATTTTGTGTTCCAAGATATTTTCAAACAGCAATCTCAAACCATCAAAGTTATTAGAGCATTTCAACAATCTGCATGGTGGCGAAAAAGTGCATAGCATGAACAGCTTGAAGTCAAAGAAGGCTCGGTTTGATACCAGTGGAACTATCCTAAAATTGTGCGGACCAGCAATTTAAAAACCTTTATTAGAAGCGTCATGTCAAGTGGCATATTTATGTGCAATAAAAATAAATAAATAAATAAATAAAAATTAAAAAAAAAAAATTAAAAAACCTCACAAGATTGCTGAAGAGTTGATTAAACTTAAACCTTCTGCTTTAATTATTGCTAAAACAGTTTTAGATTCGGAAGCACATAAAAAATTCCAAGAGATTCCATTATCGAATGATATTATACGATCGCAAATACAAGATCACAGTGAAGGTATTTTTATGCAAGTAATTGAAGATATAAAAATCAGTCCACTAAAAATAAGCATGCAACTGGATGAGTCAACTGATGTTGATAATTGTAGCCAACTTTTGGTATTTGTCAGGTATGTGAATGAAAAAGAGGTGACACAAGAATTTCTATTTTGTGAGCCACTGGTGGTAAATACGAGAGGAATTGATATTTTCAATCGCATCATAGATTTTTTTACTAAATGTCAATTACCAATGAATGTGATTGGCTCAATATCCACTGATGGAGCCCCAGCAATGTTAGGCGAAAATTCAGGATTTTTTTCACGCATGAAAAGAGAATTAACGGCAGTTATAATAACGCATTACATGCTGCATCATCATGCACTTGCGTCGAAAGCATTGCCAGAAAGTTTAAAACAACATCTAATCACAGCAGTAAATGTAGTAAAATACATCCGAGGGCGAGCGCTTAAACATCGCATTTTTCATGCATTTTGCGAAGAAATCGGTGCTGATCATACCGTGCTCCTATATTACACCGAAATACGATGGTTATCTAAGGGTCGCATGCTTAACACAGTTTTTGAATTGCGTGAGGAAATTATTCAATTACTGACTAGTCAAAACTGTTATTTAGTAAAAGATTTTGAGAGTAATAATGCAATGCTGAGGCTGGCCTACTTAGCAGACATATTTAGCCATTTAAATGAATTGAATCTATCAATGCAAGGATTTGGTATAAATATAATAATATCTAGCGAAAAATTATCTTTATTTATTGCAAAATTAGAAATTTGGATGCATCGAGTAGGAAAGGGGAATTTTGCAAACTTTCCCTTGCTTGATACTGTTATTGCGAAAAATGAAAAGAATACAATTATACCCGACATTGTAATACATTTGAGACGATTGAGCGAATCGTTCAATGGATATTTTTCTACCGGAAATATTGCCAAAACGCAGAGATGGATACTGAATCCATTTCTATTTGACTTAAACTTGATGGATGATAGTGATCTGAAAAAAGATCAACTTATTGAAATGCGAGCAAGTGGACATGTTCAAATGGAATTCGAACAATTAGAATTGCAACAATTTTGGTATTCACAGTTACAACGTTATCCAGAGTTAGCGAACGAAGCACTCTTACCCTTTGCTACCACCTACTTGTGCGAAATGGGATTTTCATCGTTGTTGCATATAAAAACTAAAGCGAGAAATCGCTTAAATGCAAGTGATGACTTACGCGTATGTCTTTCAAAAAAGGAACCTCGCTTCACCAGTATAATAATGAACAAACAACAACAGACTAGTCATTAATAAAAATAATATTGTTTTGTATTTATATAAAATGTAAAATTTTTTTCAATAAACAATGAGCTTCGCAAAAAATGTATTTTTCTAGACTAAAAATTTTAAAACACATTTTTCAATGGGGTGCGGAGATATATTTTCAGATTCAATGGGGTGTGACTCGCTAGAAAGGTTAAGAAACACTGATGTAGATAATAGTAGCAGAATATGTTATCTAATCTATAAATCTAAATATGTTAGATATAAGGTATCAAAACACTGTCAATCTCTAAAGGAACTTTTGATCTCATATGATGATGTTGATAATAGTAGCAGAATTTGACTGGTTTCTATATGTACCATTAAAAAGGCATGATTTTTATTAAGGTATGTATTAGGTATTAGCATTTCTACTTCATATCATCATCGGTAGAAAATTTTTGATAATGTTAGTATTAATCATTGAAGGGTAGCAAAGCGAGATATCACAAAGATTGTTAAATTAAAACCTCAGCTACCAAAAATTTCACAGTTTTGTTGTGTAAATCCTAGTTTATGAAATAATAATTTATGTTAGAATAAATTAGTGTCACTTTTGCATAATGAAACTCGGCAATGTCAAAAACAAAGGTTTTGGCTGTAGAAGTCTTAAAAGGATTTTGTACTTGCATTGTATTTGAGCTTCATTCTTTTTCAGCCATGTTTGTGTTCTTTTTTGGAATATACTCCTGATAATATTGGCTATTAGGTAAGCCTGAAGATATTTAAAACTTTTAAATGAGTTCCTTGTAGTCTTGTGTCTTTTATGACTCTCAAAGTAGTCATATAACTTTCATTTTGAATATCTTGAAAAAACTGGAATGAGATGCTGGAAAAAGTCTTGAGTGCAGTTAGAAGTTGGAAAAATGCTTAAATGCTTTAAAAGATTTTAATGATTAAAAATGCAAAAAAATCATGTTAAAAAAGAATTCATATAATTAGTAGATGATAATCACCAAAAAAATGTAGAGAATTCTTAGGTTCAAAATTCTGGAGAATTCGGTACGTGCAGAAAATCTGTCGACCACAAGAGATGGCGTGAATCGCGCCAAACCAAAAAGACGCATTTACTAAATACAGTCAAATACCGAAAATCCGGCGACATGAAATCCGCCAACTCCTGAAATTCACGTTGCCTCTCAAAATATAAACGTTCAGTTTATAGGTTCTGGAAACCACAACATTGAGTACAAAATATCGAAGAAAAAATACTTACTGAATAATGACATCATAATTACCGAATAATAATGAGTTATAACGGAAATACCAAATTATTGACATCATGATAAAAGTTTTTCTTCTTTAATCTGCATCTCAAAGCAGACGATTCACTCTTCTTTCAAGTTCACGATTCACATTGTTGTATTTTCTGAGCTTTGTTATTTCACAAGATTATTTAGTGCTGCCTTTTTTTTATCCATATATTTTGTGGATAAATTAAAAAATTTTAAATTTCAGCCCTTTTTTAATACATTTACAGATAAGAAACACTCATGATTTTACTGCTTGCAGCGTTGAAAAACGTAAACATGTTGCATTGCCGGTGTTTACGTTTTTCAACGTTGCGTATGATATACAGAAAATAAAGAAAAGCTAACTCTCCAACATAATTGCTGTGAATGAAATTGTAGTGTTTAATTGGTCAAGGATCTCAAACAACAATTCATCAGAAAGGTGCTTTGTATGTCTACATTCCCTCTATTGGTTATGGAAGTACATGTGTTGACAATATTTTGAAATTTGTCTAGTTAGAAAGAAAGTCCTGGCTCTAATCTTTGTTTAAGTCAAGAACAATAAGCTTGAATGTGTTTCAGGTATTTATATTCTTGAAACAAAAACACCTGTTGCACATACATTTCTATAGGGAAATGGGTTGAATTAATACTGCCAGCAGTTTTACTAGGTGGCCAAACAGGTATGCTAGTCTGGTATTCAGGAAGCACTCATGCTAAAGTGCTAAGCAAGCACTAAAGCTATGAGGAATTTCTCTGAAAAAGAAAAATAGATCAAATAATGCTCCCTGCAGGAATAATTGCAATCTAGTTTCTTAATACTGAAATAATCAAGTCATTCAACAATTTGTGTTTAGAAATAAATAATTACATTAAAAATAAAATGGAGCAAAATCAGCTTGTAAATTTTTTGATGCTTACCCTGCAAGAGGATGAACAATTCATGGGATAAAAACATTGATAGCTAGCTGTATGGCCTGTGCACTACAAACAAACTTCATAAGTGAGAAGTGCTTATGTAAGGAGAACATGCGAGATTAGGGCCAATAATTTTATAAGGAATGGGGTTACAAGACAGTCATGTGCGATTACAGGGTTTGGTGCTTTATGAAAATATTCCAAAAGAAGATGACAAAACTGTACTTGAAAAAATGTAAGTTTTTGTATATGGATATGTGAATAAGTATAGATCCTTGTACATGAATATTTGAATATATGCAGCTTGATGCAAATAAGAAAGTAAAAATTACTCTGCATGAAAAGAAATTCCTTTGAAAATAAGCTCTAATGTGTTTTTTGGAGCATAAATTAATACAATTGCCTTTCTTTTTTTGAGTGAAGCATAGTAGCTGAAAATATGGAATGAATTTCATGCAGCTCTAAATTTTTTGTGTAGTTTTTAAATTGGTAGATAAATAATACAAAATGCTGAGCTTGACTTGGGACAAAAAATGTATTTGATCTTCTCAAATTTTACAAAATTTATTCTTATCAGTATTTCTTGTACTTATTTAATTCTTTTTCTTTTATGTCATGTTCAGCAAATTAACCTTTTTTTTTTTTTTTTTTTTTTTTTTTTGTAGAACCTGTATTGAAACTTTCTTTGAGTGCTAGTGAGAAGTAAGTTTTATTAATGATCATATTCAAATGTTTTGATATTTGATTCACATTTTTGTCTGGATTTCTTTTTATATTTTCATTTTTCTTTTTCTTAGTGTTAATGCTGCTGTTTATGTATGCTGATAAGCTTTTTGTCCGTTTTATGATAAAAAAAAAGTTTCAGCATAAATGTTGTAAGTTTTGGATGTAACAATCTCAAATAAGAATAAGCCAGTACCCAATTGTTTGTACTATGTGGGCAGAACAGAAATGTCTAAAGCAGTGTGAAAGTCTGTATGTACATAATTTACTCTAGAAAAATAGAGGGCCAAATCAGAACCACTCGAAACAGCTCCAAATCATTATGCCTTGACCACCAAATTTATTTTTCTCTGGATACAATTGTGTAAATATCATTCACTTGGAGATATGCTACATAGAACATGTAGCAGCTGAGTGGTAAAGTCACTTAAACACTGGTAGTTCAACCTGGATTCAATTTCAGGTGAATGGGCTGGTTGCATGAGCATTTTCATGCCCCTTCCCTTGTATGACATGTATACGAACCAGTCACCCCTAGAAAGTCTTCCATGAAGGCATCCTTGCCCTTAGGCAGGTAGCCCTGGTGTGCTTTACCATAATCAAATAAAGCAAACCCAAACCATTGAACTTGCTACTCTTGCTCGAGACTCTAATGTTGTATAGTTTTATACCATGAAAATTGATGCTTGGCATTAGTAATGCTTTTGCTCAATTTAACTCATATGCAGCATTTATGTAAGTTTAAAGTTTGGATCTTTCTTGGGCGTATAATTGTGATATGTTCAGAATCATTATGGAATTTGCTGGGAATGGTTTCTGCCAGCTCCTTGTGGTCTGGCAGAAACTGTCAAGATCATGTCTTTTGTAACTGTCAAGATCATTGCATGATCTCTTTCTGACAGATGAAGTGGTTGAGCAGGTTGCGGTTTCGTAATCGTATCTCCTGCAAATTTGTGCTTCACAATTGCATTATTTAAATAAAATGGGTAAAGTGTTACGTCATTGAAATTTTGTGAACAAGTTTTCTAAAATGGTAACAAAGCAATCACATCACCCCATTAAAAATAATTTACTTAACAGTTTTCTTTAATATTGCTTTTTTTGGTTTGCAGTGATCATTATGAACTTGACATTTTCTTTTATATCTTTCTGTGTTTGTGCTTTAAAGTCGGTCTATTACTTCACAGAAGTGCTTGGATATTTTTAATCAAGTAGTGTATTTCTCAATAAATAGTAATATCCATTTTAACTAATATTAAAATTTTCCTATATATTTGTTTTTTGACAGTTAATACAGTACAAAATCCAATATCCGGAATGATCTAAAATCCAGGCCCCAAAGCCACCAACAACCTTTATTTTATTGGGATTTTTTTTTTTTTTTGATGCTGTATGCTGCACATTTGATTTTTTCCCCTCCATAATAAAACATGTGAAATTCTTAATTTTTCCAATTCTTAATTTTACTTAGGCACTAAATAAAATATTTCGTAATTGAAGAAACAGTCATTTTAGCATAAATTTGTGTGATCAATAACTGGGCTCCATAGCTGCATATCTGCTTGGCATGCATCTCAAACCGAAACATTCCAGCGCATAGAAACATTGTTGATTTTACACCTACTAATATTTTATATCTCTGACGCTAACGTGGCGAACCATTATTTATTATATTTTGCTTTAATCATAGCATTTTATCAATGCATATCATACAGTAATGCCTAAACAATTTTTTTTTATACTAGTAATTGAATAGCAAAGTGCATGGTAACCTTTTACGTTGACATTATGCTTGGCAATGATTACAGATTAAGTTAAATGCACTAAGAAATGTTGACAAGGGAAACGTTAACAAGAATTTCTTGATTACATTTAGTACTTTTTGAATTAAGAATAACTGATTTATTATTCATTAAACCTAGAACCGACACCAGAGCTCATATGACCGCACTGGTGGCAGAATTTAGAGAAAACAAAATTTTTGGAATTTAGAGAAGTATCAAGCAACAAAATTAAGGGATGGCAAAATTCTTAGAATTTAGGAAAAGCATTGGGATCCAAAATTTAGGGGTGGCAAAAATTTAGAGCTCAAGAATATGCTTGGTAGCAGAATTTAGGACCCGCAGAGATTGCATAAGGCGGTAACATATCTAGCGCCGGCCCTCGATAAGCCTTAAGTGTATTTGGGAATTTATTTATTCAGGACTCAGATAAGTCTTAAGCATATGTAAGGAATAGACCTCAGTATGATAAATAACTAATAATATAATTTAAGCTTAATTGTCTCAGTGCGCAATAGAAGCAAGACAAAATTTAGGGGGAAAATTTGTCTTTCGTCGACAGTCTCATGATACATAGGAAAAAATGTAAAGTGGGCACTATTAAGCTAGGCTAAAATTATACTTTACCGATTCCAAGGAATTTCAGTTAATATAGCTTATTTTATCCAGCTTTTTTGCAGCTTGCAGCTTTGAAGCATTTTTTTGCAGGCTGTTATTTTTATAGCAATTTTATAAAAATTAAAGTTTGAACTTTTGATCATATTGAAAATAGTTCCTAATTCTGGAGCTGCAACAGGATCTACAAAGTGAAAGCATGTGTCGATATCCGTTAAACAAAAAGTGAAATTGCTGCAAAAAATGGATAATGGTATATCCGTTTCAAAATTATGCGAGGAGTTTAATATTGGAAAGTCAACGTTGACGAGGAAATAATATGACATAAGGAAATGTGTAAGATATAAGAAAACAGAAAAAAGAACTTTTTGAATTTTTTGTGAATTTTGACACCCCACTTGCAGAGAATAATGGAAAAATCATCCATTATGCTAAAAGCGATGATCATGACAAAATGATGACTGAATGGGTCAGACAGCATCACAGTGAGGACGTGCTATTGATGGGTTCAATACTAATGGCTCAAGCCAAAGGATTTCATGAAAAAATGAACTTAAAAACTGAGTTCACATGTTCCACAGGTTGGTTAACCAAATTTTAAAATAGCCAAGGCAATTAAAAATTTCAGGTGAAAAAGCTTTAGTTCTGAAGTTTCTTTCAGATGAATTCATTGATGATGAATTTATTGTCTTTTAGCAAGACCACCTTGAGTTTGCAGATGAATTCATTGAACTCAAGGTACTCTTTTAGCGAGACTAACAATTTTAGTATGCACAAATTTTGCAGGAATGCACAAGTGTAAACTTTTTGTAATCGGGGGGGGGGGGGGAATGCACAACCTCGAGTATTTAAAGGAGTAAAGATTTTCTCCATTATATATTGTGCAAATAAAAGAGCATGGATGACACAAGCATTAGTGAATGGTTGGTGTGAAAATCATTTCATACCCAAGAATCGCCAACATTTGAATTTGGCTGGTTTACCTGATAATGCAGAAATTGTCCTGTATATAGACCACTGTTCAGCTCATACTTCACTTGTATTATTCTTTTCTCCAAATTGTACATCCATCATTCAGCCTATGGATATCAGAATAGTGCACACACTGAAATGAAAATATAAAGTAGCATTTTTGAAATCTATGTTAAATTGCTTGAATAAAGGCAAGAGTATTCAAGAATTTTTGAAATATTTTAGCATAAAATCTTTTATATGGAGCATCACAAGATCGTGGAAGGATGTATTTCCAGATGCTTTAGAAAATACCTAGCATAATTTATGTCCTGCTACCATATTTTATGGTAAGGACGATGAAGATGATAGCCATGAATATGAAGGTTTTCGGATATTGCAAACCAAACATAAAATTTTCCAATTAATGAATTTTATAAAGGAATAGGGAGGAGCGGTAATAAATGAAGATGATATAACAGAAATTTTTCATTTCGATGACAATTCCCAATCATCAATCAATTAATGGTCAGGAAAATCTGTGCCATGGTTCTAGATCCAGAAAATAATGTTATTGATAGCGAAAAGAATGACAGAGAGGTTATTGAAAGTGAAAAAATTTCGACTGACAAGTTAGTCACAATTCTTGACACAGCAATCAGAGGACTTGAACAATGGAACTTTATGATTGGACAAGAAATTATGTCTGTCTACAGAATTAAAGAGAAAGTATTATCATAAAAAACAAAGCAACTTAGACAAGTTACATTGAAAGAAATGTTTAATAAAGTAAAGAAATAAATATTAAGCTTTTTTTTTGGTAAATTTTAATACCCTTTAGGTCATAAATGCTTCATAATTTCATAATTTCGTAAATCATGATTTCATATTTTTAATTTTATAATTTCTACATGCTGTCTTGCTAGATTTAAACTGATAAATCTAATGTCCAGAAAAATCTCAAATCCAGAATCGCCGAAGTCCCAATGAGTCCTGATTTTAGACTTTGTACTGTATAACAAATTTTCAATAACAGATATAAGAATGGCATACCATATTAAAAATAAATGATTCTACTCTTTGGCATAACTAAATTTTAAAAAAAAAAAATGTTGCAGCTTATTAGAAGGATAAAAAGGGATTCTGATATTTTCAGAAACACTCAGGAGTTTCTGTTCTGTGAAGTTCACTGTAACCATTTTACTTAATAGTCAACATTTACTTATTTAATGATTTGTGAAATTTTTACATAAGTGTTTAGTCCAACTTTCTGAATGATGACATTAATAATCATAATTCATAAAATGACAAACTTTTCTTAATCTCTGTATTTTTTATTTTGAGCTTTATTTTGTTTTGATAGTTAATTTAATATTTTGCAAATTATAAAGCATTGTCATTAAAAACTGAAGGCATGATAAAATACGAAACAAGCTAATTAATATTATTTGGAGTTTTATTTGATGAGGAGGCAGAGATGGATATATAATCAGATGATTTTTTTAAACACAGTTTGGTAATTTATATAATTTTAAAGTTTTTTTTTTTATTTTTATATATTGCAGAAAAATTTTACCTGATCCTCGAGATGGATCCCTTTATATGTACATATCTGGTCGTGGTAGAGATGATTTGAAAAAATTAAGGTATACTATAGCAGAACTTATTCATCGTGCTCCATTGCGGTCAAGTGATGGTTTGCTTTACACAGGTAATCCATATATTTATAATTTTTTTGACATTATACTTCCAATAATTATTTTATAGTGTGTTTGATTATTTTTGACAATTTATTGTTTCTTATTATCTAAATTATAAAATTTTTAGGTAAAAAAATAGATACTTGGTTTGCTATTAATCCTGTTACTGGAGCAAAATTGGAGACATTTTCTGTCAATGGACCTGAGAAAACTTGCCCAGTTGTCCATAAGAATGCAGTTTTTATAGGACGCACAGGTGAATGGAACTTTTGAAAATAATAAAATTAAATATTATGAATGTATTAAAACACACATTGCATTTAAGGTGAGCTTAGACAAAATTACCATGGGAACAGTAAAATATATGTGCTAATTTAGGTAAATATGAATGTTCATGTATGTAATTGTGTTTCTAAGAAGATAGAAAGTATAAAATAGCTATAGATACAAAACAAAGACATATGTTGATTAATTAAATAACATTTAGATTAAAAAAGCAATTAACTAAGCTTTTCTTCTTGCTAAAAATTTTGTGATGTATTTGCTTGATTTAATAAATGTTTTATTTTATCCCTCTGAGCATTATGACCCTGTTTGTCCGGTCATCAGAAGTTTGGTTACTTGGTATACACTGGTGTGCAAAAATTAAGGACGAGATGGTTTTTTCAATATAACTTTGTACAAAAGCTTTCCAAATCAACACATTTAATACCGTAAGATCCCCAATACGTAAGGACATGAGTAATGTAAGCAATGTTTACTAAAAGAGAAATCAGAGGAATAAAAAGAAGCTTTATTGAAAAAGTAGCATGGAGCGCAATGCGACTGAAGGCCGAAACATCCCTGTGGTGGGTGTCCAGCAAGAAACATCCGGTCTTTAATAGGGGATATGATCTCCCCTGACTGCTAGGCAGGTTTCACAGCGTTTGCCCATGCTGAGAATGAGGGTGTCAATGAGTTGTTGAGGCATTGCTGCCCATTCGTCTTGCAGCGCCAATCGAAGCTCCGGAATCTTTACTGGTGGTAAGGTACGAGATGCCAAGCCTCTGCCTAGAAAATCCCATACATGCTCAATGGGATTGAGATTCGGAGATCGTGCTGGCCAATCCATACGTTTAATATCCTCACTCTCTAAGAGCTGTTCGGCAGCTACTGTGCAATGACATGGTGTATTGTTGTCCATGAAAAGGAACTGCGGACCCATAGCGACTCTAAAAAGATGCACATATGGAAGAAGAATCTCGTTACAATAACGGGTCCCGTTGACTGAACCTGCATCGAAGATGTGAAGGTCTGTACGACTACCAAGCATGATGCCTCCCCAAACAAGAACACCGCCACCTTCATACCTGTCCCTTTCAATGATGTTTGAGGGATGATTGCGGCTTCCCCGCTATCTCCAGATGAGTATGCAATGAGAATCGCTACTCAGACTGAATCTGCTCTCATCTGTAAAGAGTACTCGTCCCCATTCATTGTCTCTCCAATTCCGGTGTTCCCAGCACCACAGAGAACGCCTTCTCCAATGGGCAGGCGTTAGAGGTACACACCATACAGGGCGTCGTGCAAACAGACCACCACCGTGCAGTCTTCTGGCCACGGTAAAACGTGATATCGGTCATCCAGTCGCCTGTGTCTAGCGATTTCTCCCGCTGTCTGCTGCCTGTTTCTTCTGGCCTGTAAGGCAATATACCGGTCATCTGCGGGTGTGGTTCCTCGTGGACGACCACTACTAAACCCCCGGATAGCTGTTCCTGTAGTTTGAAATTGTCTCCAAAGTCATGAAACGATGCTGTGAGCAATTCCGAACTCTGCAGCCACACTTGTCACACTGCGGCCTTCCTCCAACTTCCCAATGATTCGACCTCAGGTAAAAGCATCCAGATGTCATCTAACAGATTGATTATTCACCATTTCTCGCTGAGGCAGCAACTCGGTGTGATTTTAACTGCTATACGGCGTGCAATCTCTTTGCCAGAAATACTGATCTTACACCAACAACATGCTTTATACTACTCAGACACTCCCCCATTACGTCTACCTGCATATCTGCGCATGTGCTACCGTACATCACCTTACTTAATCTCCTGATTGGTCTTTCTGTCCGCTCTGCCTCTTCGTTCAGCTGATATGCTAATTTTTCGACTTCGTCCTTAATTTTTGCACACCAGTGTATACAGTCAAAAGTCGTTAATCCAGACTCGTCGGGACTTCGGCGATTCCGGATTATCGATTTTTCCGGATTATAGATCATCAATTTAAATCTTGTAAGATGGCATGCAGAAATTCTAAAATTAAAAATATGAAACCGTAATTTATGAAATAAAGAACAATTATGATCTAAAGGGTATCAAAATTTACAAAAAAAAAAGTTTAAATATTTATTTGTTTACTTTATTAAACATTTCTTTCAATGTAAGTTGTTTAAGTTGCTTCGTTTTATGTGATAATACTTTCTCTTTAATTCTATAAACAGACATAATTTCTTGTTCAGTTACAAAGTTCCGCTGTTCAAGTCCCGTAATTGCTGTGCCGAGAATACCGACTAACTTGTCAGTTGAAATTTTTTCATTTTCACTAACCTCTCTGTCACCTTCTTCATGTCTTTATCCATTTTTTTGCAGCAATTTCACTTTTTGTTTGATGGACGTTGAAACATACTTTCGTTTTGTAGATCCTTTGGGAGCTCCAGCATCGGAAATTCTATTTGACATAATCGAAAGTTCAAGTTTACTTTTATAAAATTGCTCTTACAGTCTGCAAAAAATAATAAGACGGATCCAATTCGAAGATTAAGGAACAATGCAATCATCAACATTAACTGAAATAGATAATTAGATAATTTTAGCTTATACCGTCCGTTAATCATAAAACGTGCACGCGAAAATGTGTTCTGCGCTTGTGCACACGCATATGCGCAGTCGTGAAGGTCTTATGCGCACACGTAAACGCCTGTGCGCATGTGTCAACACGGTGCATGCGCAGAAAGTTTTTAGCTTTGAAGTCTGGATTATGGGTGTCCGAATTAACGACTTTTGACTGTATTAGCTTATAATTTAAAATATTTTGCTTTCTTACTTTCTTTAATAATGTAAATATCATCTTAATGAATATAAGTTTATGAAAATGCAGAGTAAAATAAGTAATTATACAAACTAAATTAATAAATGTTGTTTAAATACTGGTCTTCATGATGGATCTAAAATCCTGTGCCACTCAGAGGGTTAATATGTTGGTGAATCCTAATTTAGCAAATTTTTCTCATGTTTTCATTGAAAATCTGAACAATCATTATTTAATGAAGTTTGTGATTATTTAACACATTTTTCTAATTTTGAATGTTTTAAAATAATTTTTCGTGAAAGAATAAGTTAGTTTGCAGTTATTTTTTAAACTAGCATATGTGAACTCTGTTCATGTGCAAGTAGGTATCATTATTATTTAACACAGAATTAGAATTGTTTATTTCCTTCAAACTGCTTCGTTATGTAATCTAATATATATATATATATATTTTCAAATTTTGTTATCATATATAACATTGTATGTAAAATCACTTTCATTTACTCACTTTAGCCAGATCTTATAAATATGTTTAAATTTTAGTTTAATTGTATAGTTGAATATTTATTTTAGTATTTTCCAGTTTCAGGATTAAATTGGAACTAAACAAATTTTTTTCATCAGCTCCACACAGCATGCTCAAACTAGGCCAAACTATATTTCTTTATTAAATGATGCTTGAGTAGCCTTCTAAATTGGGATTTAAGCTTCCCAAATTGATTTCATCATTTGAGATTCATATTTTGTTAGTACAAAAAGAATCATTAAATATTTAGGTATTTATTAAAAAAATATGTCTTATTTTTTCATGGCTGATAATGCTTGAATAGAGTCTACCAGTTTAATTTTCCTGCATCATATTCATATGAATTGGTATCACTGTTATTTTTATACTTTTAGATATTTAGCCAATTTTTGTAGTTTGTAATTTTTTTAATATAACGGGACCGGAGAGTAATGTCACTTTTTTACATTAAATTCAAATGAATAAATTTGTAACAAGTTTTTATTTTTAATTAATAATATAATCACCCTCATTATCAGCAACCTTTTGCCATATACCGTATATACCCGCGTATAAGTCGAGATATTTTGGACAAAAAAAAAAAGACTTCAAAGTGGGGGGGTCGACTTATACGCGGGGCCATAAAAAATTAAAAGAATCGGAAGTTCAAAAATTTCTTTATATAATGCAGTTGTTTTCTTCCCGCACTCAAATTAGACGACTTATCAAATAAGTCACTTACTTGAAGTAATTTCATGACTTAAATTATGTGACGAACTAATCACAGAGTTTCATACTTTTAACTAGAGTAAGTTTCGATAAAACGTACGTATAAGTCTTTATAACAGTTATTGTTCATTCATGAAATACTTTTGTTAACAGGCGTACACGTCAAAATTAAAAAAAATAGCCTACGCAATAACTGAACACTTTTGAATATTTCTTTTAACTTTTAAAAAGGGGAAATGCAGATAGATTTTACGTACGCGAGTCTTTTCCGGAACAAATTCTAGAAGAAGGATTTTGATTTTGTTTATTTACCAAGGTATTTTTTATCGTATATTTACTTTTTTTCTCAGATGATTTTAAATAAATGTAGTACTTAAAAAAAAAAAAATTTCGAAGTTTCTCGATTGATTTCGGAAGTCGGGGGTCGACTTATACGGGGGTTTCTTATTTTCTACGAATTTTTTATGTCGAAGTGGGGGGGTCGACTTATACGCGGGTGTATGCATTAGTATGCAGATTTCAATCCCAGACCAATAAAAATCAATTGGTTTTTGAGTAAAATATCTTGAGATGGCATTTTGGACATAATCCAAATTTTCAAATTTTTTGTCACTAAGAAAATGTTGTAGGGATCGCAATAAATGGAAATCTGAGGGTGTGATATCGGGCGAACATGGTGGATTAAGCAGTACCTCCCACCCCCAATTCATTATATTTTTCCAGTGTTCATCTTGCATTGTCGTGTTGCAGAATGACGCCTTTTCCGTTGGCAGTTGCCGGATATTTTTTGATTAAATATTGGTTCACTAGAGCCATTTGTTCAGAATTTAGGTCTATATTAACAGTTTCTCCAGGTTTCAGCAATTCAAAATGAACGATTCCGCGAATACTCTACCAAACACCCAAAAGCGCCTTTTCAGGATGTAAACCCTTTTAACCCCTATTAAAACTGCCTTTTGAGTTTTGGATTATCATATAGGACTTATTTTTTTTGTCTCCACTAATCAAACGATCAAATAACGGTTCTGTATGGTACCATTGAAGCAATACCTTTCATGTGATGGATAAGTTGGCTTTGTTCTTTTCGGACAGATTATGGGGGACTCAAACACCTGCTTTGCTTATTTTTCCATTCTGCTTTAAATGTTCTTGGATGGTCAACCAAGGTTGGTTAAGAGTGTTTGACATGGATTTGCTTTCACGTCTGCCTTTAGCATGTTGTTTTGACATGCGCAGAAACGACATTACTTTCTGGTCCCCCTTATTATTTGAGTTGATTCATCATGCATATTTGAACCTTGCCTTATTATTATACAAAAATGAATTCTTTTAAACAACATGCAACCAGTTTGTTTATCTGATATAAGTATTTAAGTAGTTATTAGCTAGTTAATCAAATATTTTAAACTGTTCCTTAGGCTTATAACCCTGCAAATGATAATTTGTATCACTGATCACTTAGCCTCTCAGGAAGAGGCATAAGATCTGAATCTCTAGAATTCATTTACTCTCTTTGCTTCTAAAGTTTGATTTTTTGGAAATTGGCTTCTGCAAATTCTCATTTTATATCCAATTAATCAGTTTACAGTTTTTAAATATATAGTTTTGAAGAAAACAGTTGTATTAATTCAAGTTAAAATCCATATGCTTTAAGGGATATATTCTGCACATTTTTCCCCTTAAAAAAAATTTTTTTTTTGTTTAGCTTAAAAAAATTATGATTTTATACTTCATATCTAAAAAAATAAATGCAATTAAAAGATACATTTTTCACTAAAAACACTTATTACATCTCATATTGTATAGTTCATTAGATGGGCATGAAGCTGTATTCACTAACATTGCCTCAGTTCTTTTGATTGCTTTTGGAATTTGTCATCAGATACCATTCTTTCAAAAACTGTGAAGTCACTATACTTCAAACTCAAATGAGAACCATGTGTGTAAGCTGCATTCCCATTCACTTTTGAAATTGTATTTTTCTTGTTTGCATTTAAACGAGGTATAAGAGGTAATGGAACCTTCTTTTTTGAAGGATATTCTTGAAAACACATTAGGATTTATTTATTGGGAGGTCCAAATCATTCACACCAATTCATCATTACTGTTTCATCAAAGATTAAAAGAGATTTATTTGGCCAAGTTTTACGATCCAGTACCTTGGACTTATGTGGAAATTCAGCATCTTCTTTAGCTAAAAGTTGGCTCCATCTGGATCTTTCAGACTCCTATAAAATTTTGCTAGATTGATTGGTTTTCTTGTTGATGTGTTGCCCCATTTCTGAATGAAACCTTATTTTAGGCCAAACATTTTTCTGCTTTTAAATCTTGACAATTATGTACAGTGTTTGTTTTTCTTTTATTCAATAATTTAATTTGATTGGCTATTTTCCTATGAGCAGCATAAACTATAATGTCATATGCTTACATTTCTATATTAAGCTCTGATATTCTTAAAGATTTATACATTGCACTGCCTGTATTTAATATTAATAAATCATCCAGAATGAAATATATTAAATTAGATTTGGAAAAATGAAGGTAGTAACCTAATTAAACAATATTTTACCCTTTTTTCTTTTTCTCATTATATTGTTTTAAAATGAATTTTTCACATTTCATGAGAAATGTTGGTGATCATGCAGTGTTCATGATTTTCAGCTTAAGCCACATATCTTCAGAAAGTAAACGTATGGGTTTTTTTAAAATTAGTCAAGAAACAACCTTGCATTTGGCATAGATTTAGACCCCCCCCAAAAAAAAACACTTCGTATAGATTTTGAGGGCAAACAGGTCCTGCTTTATCAGGAGCAAAGAAAGCTTCAAAATTATTCTTACATGCTTACCAAAAATTATTTAATCGTATGTCTTTTGTGTCTTAAACATTTTCTGCAGTACAAAAAAAAAAAAAAACTAATAAAGAGGATTTGCTAAAATTTATTTGTTGAAGCTGATTGGCCATATTTTAGTGCAGCATTTGATATAAAATTTTAATTTTTGTTTCCTGCTTCTTGTATTGAATAAACTTTATTGCAGATAAGAAATTAGAAAAATAAAATTTTGCCTTTGTTCTTGAACATGTTTCATGAAAGTTGATTTTTCTGTGTAGTAGTGAAACATATAAATGATATATTTAATTTATCTTGAAGCAAGTATTTATTTTCCTTTTTTTTTTATTTAGATTTTGAACTGTCCACATACGACACCCAATTTGGCATTCAAACGTAAGTAAATTTTTTAATATACAGTTGCCTGTAAATTTGCAGTTTTTTAATAATTTTTTAAGCATTTTAAACTATAACTAATAGTTACCATTGGTGCATGTAAGTTTTCTCTTTATTAAATAATCATTAAGTTTAATGATGTTTGTAGTTCCACACCTTTTTTTTAACCCTCAGTTGCTGCTTCCTCAGCAGTTGGGCAATCCATACCTCCACAGATATTGTTCAAGCCTTTGCATCCCTTATCTAGTTTCTTCTTCGAAAGGCTGACTGATACTAACTCCTTGCACCAGTACTGAATAAATTTTTAAAATTTCTGTTATAAATAAGATGTAGTATTTTTCATACAATTTTCTTCTCATATCGCTATATGTTGCCTGTATTTTTCAGTTTTACCTTTCTATGACATATATTCTTTAACAATATGTAATTTTATTGCACGAGAGTCAGCACATGTTTGATAAATCTTGGAGACCTGTAATTAAGAAATTAAAAGAAAAGGTTATGAGGTTTTAAAGAACTAAACAAATATGGAACAGTCAAAGCATGCAGAACGGGATTGAAAACAAGATCAAGAAAAGAATGCTTGTATCATACATTGATGCAAAAGCAAGAAACATTTATTTATAAATTGTCACCAGTGATAATCACTGGTCAATATGTTATTGCCATTTTGAAGTTCTAATTTATGAAACTTTTATTTAAAATTTACTTTAAATGGTTATCATCAAAAATGCATGTCTGTATTAGATTTCATGGGATTTAGAAAAATCTATTTTTGAACTAATGCCTGATTGTTATGCAGTATTGCAAGATGGCTCAAATATGACTGGGACTTTTTTTTAGCCCACAGGGGCAAATTGCCCAGAAGGGCTATTAATTTCATTTTGGCATTTTGCATTGATTCACAATAAATGGCAAATCACTTTTTAAATTCTCACCAAATATTAGAGCCCTGTATTATATTTCAAGAAATTAAAATAATGAAGAATCTGCATAAATGTATGTTTCTCGCATTGTGATAATATAACAGTACCTAGAGCCATCAAATTTTGAATAACGTATGTCTCCACCTGAATATGGGCATCTGGAAGCCCAAATTTGGAATTTGTTTTATTATCTGTTTCATATTTTATAAAACATTTATGAGTGTTTGATTAAGAAACTCAATGATTTCAAAGCGAGCAATTGAAAGACTGTACAGGAAAAATTTTTTTTTATCTCCAGTGCATGAGACTGTATCGGAAATTCCAAAGGTATGCTCTTTTAAATATTTTGTGATATTGCTGTTAAATTGAATTTTATGGTTCAAGTGCGAAGAACACAATATTTATTAAATAAAGGTAAGACACGAAACGTTAAAGAAAAGCCCCGTTGGGTGTAATATAAAATCTGAAAGCTTTCAGATTTTTTTTTTCAATTAAAAAAGAAAAAAAAAAAAAAAAACTTATACCGAAACTGTGTGAATGAAAGAGTTAGAACATGTCGCCTTTGAAGGTACTAAGGTACTCTTTTCCAGAGTCAGTGCATATTTCTCAACATACTCAACATACTTATACAACATAAAGCATTCACTTGTCTTTTCCATAGAAAGTTTTTGGTTGACTGTTAATCTACTTCTATGTTAATTTTCATGCAATCAACACTAACTATGTTGCCGTCATTATCCACTAACTGCATGCCTTCCATGTGGGATTTCCGAACAGGCATAAGTCCTTTTCTCATCATCTTGCCAGGCATGATTGAATGAGTTCCAATCTGCACGAGAGGCTAGGTAAGAGTAATGGCTGTACTTACCTAACTACAAACAGTAGTAACTTGAGTAGTGGTTTGCAATAGCAACATTTCTGGCCATATTTGGATCTCCTTGTGCTCCTTAAATCTTTCCAAAATTAATTGGGGATGTACAATTTTCACAGATTTTGAGAAAGAAACATTTCAACTTGAGTTATACGGAAGGTAATTAGAATGGTATCAAATTATACATTGTTTGTCATTTGCATGTAATTAAAAATTTCCTTCAAGAAATAAACCTTTACTATACTTGCATTTTTATTTTTCTAGTTTTCTTATCTCATTAATCTGTGTCAATTTTATTTACTTCTTTTTCCTCTGTATCAGTTTTAATCTAAGTTGCTGTATACTTCAAACGTTTCTGTTATACTTCTTGTTAATTTTGATTCTGGTTATAGTTAGATCTTTTATAAATTTGGATCTTGTCTTGGAAAGGATAACTTTTATAATCTATTCAAATTTTACAATAAAAAAGTATAAATTTTCCAAATAAAAATCCTAAAAATTTTAGTAAAGTAGTTATAGCATAGTATGTAGAAATTTTTAGATATTTTGAGCCAGGAAAGATAAAAAATCAGTTGATCTCCATCAAAATTAGAACCAATGAACTTTCGCTTGCCAGCTGGACATACTATTTGCATCATGAAAGCATGTGTGGAGAAATGTGATAATTTCTTATATTCTTTCCCATAGAAAGTTTGAGTATGGAGTGGCACAAGACTTAGGTGACTAAATTAAAAAAATGTTTTTGTTGTAAAATATTTAAATATTATTTTGCATTATTCTTATCTTGATATTTCATAATTTTTAGTTACATTTAAAATTTTTGGGTACTGTTCTTTTATTGGGACCAGATTCAGAAATGTATTAATGCATGTGTGTATATATGTGGATATATGTGCATATGTGTAAGGTTAGGTTAGGTTAGGTTATTTAATTACAGCAAAGCCTCAAGGGCTATCTGCCTATGGAGAGGGATGCCTTTGTGGAGGACTTTCTAAGGGAAACTGGCTCGTATACACGTTACACATTGGTAAAACCACGAAAACACCTATGCAGCCAGCCCGTTCGTGGGATTCGAAACTCGTACCGAACTACCAGTGTTCAGCAACTTGTACCGCTTGGCCGCTGGTGGGCTTTGTATATATATATAAACACATACATTCATGCTTACATATGTACATGCATTCATAAACACATATATCTTTACATACATTTGTGGATCCAGTCCTGGTTACAGAACAGTACCAATTTTTGAATTAAAGTTAAAATTTTTATGTAAAATTTTAATTTATTTAATATTTTACACAAAAGATTAATAGTATACCACAAAGTAAAAATGTATTTGCGCCTGCAGGGTTAAAATTGTGAAAAACAATTTTGAATGCTGTAGCCATATGAATCTATTATTTCTATTTCAAATTTAGTTCTGGGCTTATTTATTATTTATTACAGTAGAATTGCAACCTAACTTTCAAACTTTTTTAATAAGATAATCATAACATACTTTAGATTAGATTGCTTAATTTTTTTAACAGGTGGAATGTCACATATTCTGATTATGCAGCTATTAGTTCTCTTGAGTTGGACAATGAATATGGTAAGAGTGAACAAAATGTTTTAATTATAAAACTTTAAAATGTTCTTTATATGTATTTTTATGATATGTATATACATAATTTAATGTATCAACTTTAATGTTTTCAGATGTGACTCACTTTACGTCTTGTTCCAGTGGACGAATGCTTTCTGTTGAGAAACAAAGTGGTAAATAAATTTTACCATGAACTTTTCTTTAACACATTATAGCTTTACAAAATGTGTCTAAATTTATTATGAACATGAGGAAAATACTATCATTTCTGCTTTTTGAGAGGAAATTACTTTTAATTTCAGAATAGTAGAAATATGTATGAGAATATTAATGTAAATATAAAACAATTTAAGCTGCAAAAAAAAGTATCATTAATAAGATATATAGTGAAACTTATTGAGTCTGAGAAAAATTAATGCATGTTCTCCACATGTTTTAAACTTGCACACACAGATATATATATGTATATATATACATAATTTTAAGGTCACTGAACTGTGTGCAAAGTATTTGCTCTTGATAAATGACTAAATACTTCAAATGTCTCTTGAAGTGCGTCAAGCGTCTTTATTTTAAATCAATGCTATATTTCGGTTGAATTTGTGTTATTTTGAAAGTCAGTATTATGTTTATTAATGTAACTACAGTACTTTCATGCTTACATATTTTTAACAAAAATGATTGAAATTTTTTAAGGCTGTTTATGAATCTGGTTTCAAGTGAAATTTTGCATGACAGTAATGTTGCTATATTTCATCTTCTGGCACCAACCATGAGTAAACATTTTTCTCAGGAGTTCTTGACTGAACTGATTGATGTTAATTTTTGGAATTTACGTTTCTGGGTATCTGTCTGGCAGAACTTTTAACATCTCATTATTACTGATTCAGATTTCTGTAGCAGTCTAGAAAACTGCCATTCGTTTAATTTCTATGAGATAATCTTTGACTTAGTGCTCATTTCTTCAGTGGTTATGGTGCCTAGTGCAGGATCATCTTTAAGTGACATTTTTAGGCATGCAATAATAAACTGTAATCATGCATCCATGAATGTTTGTTGGTGTTATGCCTTACATGGTAAAGAACTGAATTATCTGATGATATTTGACATTTTAAATATTAATGGACCATTGACTGACAATATTTAACAACCTTTTAAAAAACAAATAATAATGCCTGCTGTGTGTGTTTTTCTTTTTATACTTCCAAACGATGGCAGTCATTTCACTGTATTTCATTTCCACATGAATAGAATTAACTGAACACTAATCATCTTTATGATTAATCAGAAAATACTCACATTTAAAAAATTCATACTATATATTTTATTTGTCATAATCTTGATTAATAAACAACAGTGCCTTAATTTTAATAACTCATATTTATTAGAATATAACTACCAACTAAATTTCTATTACATGTGATAAAAATTAAACTTTTAAAATACTAGTTAGAATTTTTTTATCTATTAATCTGGTTGTAAAAAATGAATTGACTTGCATCACATTTCACTTTTAAAAATGTTTATTCTATTAAGTTGAGAATTCAGAAAAATAGAGAGCTATTCAATTACTTATTATGTGAATTGTGGAATTAATTGTATAATTTATAATAATAACCCATGGTTCTTACATTTATTCAAATTCAAACAACTAAATGCCTGTTGTGCGTAATTCCACCCCCCTGAAGAAGGGGTGAGAGATTATTTACTTATATACTTCCTTTGATATAATTGTTTATGTATATGTGCCTCATTCTTTTTTTCAACAGGATTTAATATTTTTTCTTTGTAGGTGTAAAGGCGATTATTATGTATGAAAATGTAATTTTTCTTGTTTAAATAATTTTAAATAAAACTTCATGGCTTTATGCAACAATTCTAATGCATTCCAAAGCTGTTTTTCTGTAAGTAGACAATTGTATCATAGATGAGAATGTGTTAGAAAAAAGAAGTGTTATTTTAATGGGAAAAGTTATTTCATAATTGTTTTAATTTTCATTTTTTCCTTTATTTGAAAATAGGTGACATAATGTGGTATAATGATTATGGCTCTCCCATTGTTGGTGTTTATTTGCTTGAACAAGAAGGCTTAAGAAGTGTTCCGTTTCATAGTATGTCTTTGGAAACATTGGAATACATCAGTCATGCTCAAGCATCTCAGTGGGAGCATCTTTTCTCAAAGTATTCTGCTGGATCACTTTTGTAAGTAACGTTTCCATTTGGAATCATTAACTGTGAATGGTAGTCTGAAATAACAGATCATTCTTGAAATGATAACTCTGAAAGTTCAGGAACATTAAGCTATAATATTTACAAAATATTCTGACACTGTAATTTAGCTTGTAAAACTAAAATTAAATATGTGGCTCAAAATACACAAAGTTTTCCTCTCTTTCTTTCTTTTTTATTATACGTTAGCAACTTAAATAGAAGAGAAATGAAGATAGAAAGGACAACAGGGAGATAATAGTGTTATTACTAGAAAATTGCGAGAAGGTTTGTTAGATTGCTACTAGATATGTTCGTGTAGGAATTCTTTTACTAGACACGATTTTTGAAACTATTATAAAACTATCAAATAGTTTCATTTTCATAATGTATATAAATAAAAAATGTAAAAAACGCATGTAGGGCAAATAAGATTGAGAGCTGCTCAACCAATATAGTGGTTAGCTTTGCTGACTGCCATGCCGAACAGCCTGGTTTTGAATCCTGGAGAACGAACAGATGCTTGTAAATGTATAGTGTCCGTGAGCTGAGCCGAAAGTCCTCTTGAGAGGTTGAGGTAGGGGAAGAGGGGTGGGAGACCCTCAGACACGTGCCACTGGTAGGTTTCTATCAAAATTGGGGGCAAAAATGAGCTAAATGGCACTGTCACCTGTAAGGTGCTCAAGGCTGTTGTCAACAATAGGCGTATCTTGCGCTCCTTGTCATGAGGAATTTCATGGGCTTGGGCTGACTATAGGCCAAACAGGTGAAGCATTAGTCAATAACAGTAACAAGAAGGATTGAGAATATACGTTTATTTTGATCACAGGTGGCTCAGTGTTAGGTCATTAGCCTCTTATTTGTATTTCAGAAATTTGATATTCAGCCAGAATCTGTTACCTGGAAAATTTAGCTTTGATTCAATAAATACTAAAGGTGACTGTGGCCTACAAAAGCAGCATGAGAGGAGCCAAATGAGCTCTCTATCATGATATTGTACTTTCAAAGCATTTATTTTGTTTTGTCAATGCATTATTTCTTTTTACTATCCATGGCTGGGTATAAGATGTTTTATATACACTCGCTTCCAAAAGTTAAGCACGGGGAGGAAAATGCTAATTTCTATAAGCCAATCAGAATTGAAGAAGATGCAATTTGCTGCAGAGGTAGATGGAAGTATGCAAATATGTAAGGTAACAGCCAGTCGCGCTTTCATGTCAAGAAATATGCATAAAAGGCAGACTTATAAGAAGCCAGCTTAATGAAGGGATTACAGAAAGTTGATTGTAAGTGCTGATAGAAGGTGTTTCAAAACTTTCGTACAATTTGTTTTCAAGACATATGTGTTTCTATGACTTCCAGAAGACAAATGGAGGATTCTGAGCGCTGGCCGTGCTGTGGGGTACATTGAAGCAGGACAGTCGATCACAGATGTTGCTCGTTTCTTTGGCGTTCATCATTCTGTAATTTCTCATTTATGGAAACAATTCCAAACCACGCAGACAGTTGTCCGAAGGCCCATAGCCGGTCGCCCAAGGTTTACAACCCCCGTGGAAGATCAATATATTGCTATTGTAGCCAAGTGGAATCTGCAGAGCGACCTCCACACGTGTGACATCTATGGTTACAGCGTCCATTGGTAAGGCGATATCTGCAATTACATATGAGCAGATATCGCCTTACCAATGGCCGCTGTAACCATAGATGTTGTTGGAAAATATAGCTTATTTTAAACCTTTTACTGCATCATCTCTCCTCCTTGAAATGTTTATTTAGTTTAGTTCTTATTTTAATGTAATATAGTAGTTACTTCTACTTCTTTTTCTTGCTGCCACTGTTTGCGTTGAGAACGGACTGTTTCAAACTAATTGAGATGCAAAAACGAAACGTGATGTTACGTCATCTGAAAAGCCGATTCGTGCCGACAGCTGATTGGTTGCCGTGAGATGACGTCATTCCTACTTCTGCTATAAGCATCTCGCGTCACTCTGGCTCAGCCCTTCTAGTTCCTGCTTTCCTGGCACTTGGGTGGGCGGTTTCCAGCCCCTTCAGAAGGATGCTTGCAGTCCGGTGAATGAAGTGCCTTGGTTCCGGTTTGCGGGATGGCTGTTCCTGAATAAAGTTCCTTGGTGCCTGTCCGCGGGATGAGTGTTCCGGAATAAATTCCTTGGTTCCAGAGGCTACCATGTGAGTGACTGCCGTGGATGGCATCCATGTTCTTCAATAAAGGTGGCAATTAAAATACGTGAGCGGCGATTCCTTGTGCAAACGGAGTTGGGCCGGTTTTAAGTGTTTTCAAGAACTTGATTTAAATTTCAGGTGTTTTTCTTGACCATTGATTATGGACTTATTGAATGTGTAGCCAGCTTTATTTTTAGGCCGCTTAATTACTGTTTAGGACTTTTTATTTGTATTGAATGCCAGTGTTTTGGAGACCAGGTAAAAATATTATTTGATGAATGATGGTTATATTATATTTTTCCTAAGACTCTGATATTGAATGAAATTTATTTTCTGTGTTTTTATTATTTATTATATTGTTAATAAATTGGTTAAGTTCAAAATTTTTTATTGTCTTCAATGTCTGCACAACATATCTCAGGGAGCTTTTATTGCTACTACTGCTAAATGTTTAATTTTTTATAAACTTTAAACTTTGCTTTAGCATCAGATGTCACACGTGTATCACTCATATGTACGTCGACAATTACATATGAGTGGACTGTACGCCCGGGTACCTTGAGTTTGTGTTCATTATCCGTCCAATCAAGAGGGGCACGATTACAGTGGTGCCGGAGCATGTCAATTGGAATGTGTCTGACTGGGGCAATGTCATGTTTACTGATGAGTCAAGATTTGCTCTGGAGCCAGATGACAAGCGTATAAGGATATGTCGTGAACAACGAACACATAATCAGTCCCAAAACATCACTGAACATCACACGTTCCAAGGCGGAAGCATTATGGTATGGGCAGGGATTTCACCGCACTGACCTGCACATCTTTAAACGGGGTTCTTTGGCAGCTGTCCGGTATCAAGATGAAGTCTTATAACCCATTGTGAGATTGTACACTGCTGCAGTTATCCCTACTTTTGTTTTAATGGACGGCAATGCACGTCTCCATAGAGCTGACATCGTCGATGACTACTTGGAGAGTGAAAGGATTGCGCGTATGGCGTGTTCAGCATATTTGCCCGACCTTAATCCCATTGAGAATCTTTGGGATGCTCTCGGCCGTGCTGTATCTTCACGTTTCCCACCTCCAGCCACTCTTATTGAGCTGGAAACTGCTCTACAAGAAGAATGGCGATTGCTTAATTCTGCAGTGGTTGACCACCTAATTGAAAGCATGGTCACAAGGTGTAAACTTTGTATACAGATGAGGGGGGATCACACTATTAATGTCCTTTTATTTTCATTTTATGCTGTTTATTTTCACTTTATACATAATTCTGTTTAAGTCTCCAGTATGTCATTATCTGATAACTTAAAAAATTTAATATTGTTTTCATTTCTGTGTATAATTATTGATTTTCTTTTATGCATAAATATATGTATACTACTTTCCTGCCAAATTTTGTGTCAATCAAAGCAGTATTTGTTTTTTTTTTTACATTTTACATCTTCGTACTTAACTTTTGGAAGTGAGTGTATTTCTTTATTTTATAGTAGTACCTCGGTATAAATAATTAATCCATTCCGAATCCTTGGACACACACCAAATGAACTTTTCCAATAAGAAATAAGAAAAAATAATGTATATATCCTTTCAGATGAAGAAAGCCTATTGCTATTACTATAGAATTGTTTAATACTGAAATACAAATGAAGTGGGTGAAATATGTACCGTACATAAATGAAGCACTGCACATGATATTCTACATGAATGTTTTTCTACTATCCAGATAAAAAATAATTTTTTAGTATGCTTTCTCATGCTCAATTTTTTTTAGCATACTTGTTTTTTAATCTCTGATCTTTAGTAATTGATTTCATTCCCTTCATTACATTAACCTATTTAATAGCGTCTTTGTTCTTTACAATTATAGAATGCCATTGTACTTGGCATACGGTATGCAATAGTCAATGCATCTTCATACTTTTCAATAGTCTTTTTTCACCTTCATGATTATCCTAACAATTTTCTTTATTGCTTAACTCTTCTGATTAATTTTCTTAAAAATGTGTGTTAATGAATTTACAAAAAATTTATATGAGAAAGCACAAAACTACTGAAATTCATAGTTTTAATGTGGGATGTTTACTGAATAGTAGCAATAGGCATGCTGATACTCATGGCCAGCTGTTAGTATTGTCTTGAAAGAAGTAAACAAGGGCACAGAGTCGTAACTCATTGAACTCGAGTTGTATTTAAACAAATGTTTCTCGAAATGATTTTTTAGTAGCCATATAAAAACTGTTGTTGATAAGAGCAGTACAATTCAGTTTGGGAACCACCACTGCACAGGTAAGTGGCTAAAGTTATAACACAGCCACTTTGTGTCTAACATAATATTACTATAATTGAAAAACAGGTTATTAAGGTTTTACAATTTATTGGTTTCATAGTTGAAAGAACACTGGCCATGTTATGAGGATAGAAAAATGTCCAGTGAAACTCATGAAAGTTCTGTTTTTTTTAATTGCAAAATAAATGTTTCTCTTTAAAATTTTGAATTAATATCCCATGATGTTAAGAAGGATTAATTTTTAAATTATGATATGCCAGAAAAAATCACAGCTATTTTTTTAAAAATTCAATCTTTTATGTTAACTTCTTATCCTAATTTCTTTCTTTCTTTCTTTTTTTTTTTTTTTTTTTTTTTCCTTTTGCAGACATACATTATACATTGGTGAACATATACATGGATTATATGCAATAACTTCCTTGGTTGATGATAAACAGCCTATAATTACTGTAAGTATCTTTTTTTCTACATCTGCTTAACATATCAACATTTCACACTGCTAGTATTAAGTTTTATGCTAGTATTAAGTCACACTGCTAGTATTAAGTATGATAAACAGCCTATAATTACTGTAAATATCTTTTTTTCTACATCTGCTTAACATATCAACATTTCACACTGGTAGTATTAAGTTTTAAAGCTGGAGTGAAATGCTAGGGTATGTATACTATTATTTTTCCCCATTTTAATTCCATTATAAATGTAATTTTTGATTACATTTTAATGCAATACTTATTTAGAATCCTAGCTCAGAATAAAAATCTTTCAAGTGATTCATGATTCTCCTCATCCAGTTACTTAGCGCTCTGTAAGAAATATTAAGAATATTTGTAAAGATACTTTATTTTTTAAACTCGTGAGAATGCATCCCTTGTTATTAAACAAATGCATGCATGTGAGGATATCTGATACCCCGATATTTTTTGTGTTATTTAAATAGATTTAAGTATACTTTTAACTTAGAAGAAAATGTTTACAGGAAACTTTCTACCATATACTTCTAAACTGGTGCATTTTGTTTTCTTAAATTTGTTACAGTCAACAATTTATGAAGGAAATTAAACTTACAAGATTATATATTTTCAGTCTCTTTCTTTTTAACAAATTTTGCTCATATATGTATAACTTTTTTATTCTTAAATGATTTTCTGTATTTTTGTTAATTGAAAGAGGTCATGTATCTTTCAAGATTCTTAGCATTTGTTGCATCATTCAAACTTGTAGGTGAGTATTTGCAAAATAATGGTTTCAGCTAAGAATTTTTTTAGCTGAAATTTCTATTTCTGTCATCTAGCTTACCATTATTATCGTATAGAAACTTATTTACATTAAGAATATAACTGAGTGATCACTGTTGAGAAGATCATTAAATCACTTATATTATTGAATGATCATTGCCATCACTTGAATTATGATTATTGTGACATCACAAATCTCACCCTTAGATACATTAACTGCTTATTTAAGCTTTGAAACTTAAGTAAGTAAACGTTGTAGGTGTTTATCTAGCCTCCATAGCTCAGAAAGGTTCTAAACAGCGAAAAGGAATTTTACCATGCTATTATTCTTTAAAAAGTATGATTTCATCTTCACTAAATAATGTTAAATTTAAAAAACAAATTTTCATAATGATCACTAAGGTATAAATAGCATAATTGAATGAATGAACAGTAAAAACGTTTTACATGCATTTAGAACATAACACTTTGCTCAAAGCCCCAAGAAAATGAAGCATAATCAATGTAACAATGTAAATCAAGCATCAGGTATATAAGAAATGAGATATGTCTTTTGCGCAGCTAGAAATGAAGTGATTAGAAAAAATAGAGAAAGTTTAGTAAGAACAGTAATAAGTGTTAGATTTATTTATAAGTATTAAGATTAACTGCATATTAGAAATGTATGAAGGCAGCTAAAACAGCCCTTTTTGGGAGGGGGGAGGGATAAGCTTATCAGTTGTAAGAAAGTCATTCTCTGCATTATCTCTCTTGCAAGTGCACACTGATCAATTATGAAACTTAAGATGGTGTATATTATTCTCTAGAGAATATGATATAGCTGTATTTTCCCCCTCTTCCTTCTGCTCTGTTTATTATTTGAATTCAGGTCTGTTTTAAAATTGCGTAAAATATGCAATTCAAGTGAAGAAATTGATGTATGGAAACTTTATAATAGATTTGCCTAACTGGTTGCATTATTCTTTAACTCAGAGTAAATTTTGATATGTCTCTCAAAAAATAAAAACAAAAATATTCATTATTTCAAGTGATTCTGAAATTTTGTAAATCTTGAACTATATTTTTAAAATTTGTATCTACATTTTGTAAATTATATGAGAGCTATTTTATGAGTCAATTCTAATGAGTATGTGGAGTTTTATTTTTACTAACCCATTATTTCGTTATTTGGCCTTCACTATTTCTTCTACTTTCATTGACTCGTACCAGGATGTGAATTAGTAATACATATAAAAACATAATTCTTAAAATTAAGAAAGAGCTTCTGGCAGTGACTGCTGTTCCCTTCACTACTATTTTCACCTAGCTTCTCAAATGACTCCAACCAGCTTTAGCCTTTGCTAGCTGTAGTTGCTCATATGAGTCAAGACCTGAGCCAAAACTTACATTTACAATTTGTCTTGTGAATTTTCACATTTTAAAACTATTTAGATTTTATTTTAACTATATGTTCTCATAATCTTGTTTGTAGCAGAGCTCTTCTGTTATTATATAAGCTGAGTTAATTTATTAAACTGAAGAATTAATAAAAAGGTTTGTTTTAAACCTTCTCCAAGGTGGTTTTACTTTACTGGAATATCAGGATAGTGAAATTAAATTACTTGGCCTCTCTCTGTGGAACCACAATTTAACATTTAAGATAGTAGGTTTTGTACAAGCTTAGAATAAATGCAGGAATGTTGAAAAAAAAAAATTTTAACATGTACCAAAAAAGGCATTTTATTAAGTTAGATATGTACTAATCACTCTTGAAGTCATGCTCATCCTTCTTGAAACTTCTAATAGTGTTTGCAGTCAGTATTATCAGTCATGCAGTAATAATATCATTTACTATACTTGTAAAAAGTTTTTTTTAGATATTACTTAAACAAATTTAGCCATATTTTCAGTTTGAAGAAATATAATAAAAATTCAAATCTAGCATTTAGCAAGAACATCAATATTGTTAAACATTTTTAAATGCACACAGTACGAACAGAAATTGGTAGAATAAAGTCTGGCAGTTTTTATTTTTGTAGTGTGCATGATGATTTGCGAACGGAACATCATAGTTTATTTAGATATGAAAATTTTTTCATTTATATACAGAGTGATTCTCAACAAGTTGCCGACACTTTAGGGGATGATAAAAGGCAGCTATACAAGCAATATTTGTCATAGAATGTATGTTTGGAACACAAATGGTGAGCCGCTTGGTGCCATTGTAAATGGTCGGTCCTCACAGTGGTCAATGGCATTTTCTTTCGTGGATTGCTGAGAGGATGGCTGGTTATACGAACCACAAAATTTCCAGGGCGATGGATTGGTTAAGGTGGTCCCATAGCTTGGCCACCAAGACACCGGATCTCTTGTGTTTGGATTATTTCCTCTGGGTTCATATGAAAAGCCTAGTTTACCAGTGCTTCATTGAAACCAATCTGGATTTAGTCATCAAGATCGCCATTTTTGCTAGCGATACTCCAGAAATGCCTGGTGTCTCTGCAAATGTGCATCGATCCCTATTTTGCAGGTGTGATGACTGCATTTTAGCTGGTGGAAGGTCTTTTGAGCAATATTTTTGAGAATGTACAATTGCATTCCTGTTAAAAAAATGTTTTCTGAAGTATCTCCACTCATTCTTGTGTTAATTCTTTAAATGTGACAGTGGAAACTATCCTTTTACTTCTAACCATTTGCATTCTGACCATACATTCTATGACGAATATTGCTTGTATAGCACCCTTCTATTACTTCTTGAAGTTTTGCCCACTTGTTCGGATTCACCCTGTATATATTTTCAAATGCTTCAGAACTTGATTAAAAACACCGTTCATCTTTAGTTTCTGAAGAATTTAGTAGATTTTGAAACTTTCATTTTCAGTACTACTGTTTGAAATGTAAACTTACCTTAAAGAATTATCAAGAATTCTTTAAGGATTATTCCTTAAAGAATTATCAAGAAGTATTGTTCTGATTTCTTTATTTATGCAATGCATTTTGTTATGATATGTTGTATATGCATGCCATCTATCCATTTCTTAGCAATTTGCTGTTGATGCAAGTAATAAATGTTTTTGTTAATCCTTTTTTTTTTTTTTTTTTTTTTAAATGTATTTATAGATTCGCAAACCAAAACCTCTGCTTTTAGAAGGACCAAATAGTACAGTTACAATATCATCAGAGAAAAATCCAAATGAAACATTTGAATACATAAACTATTCATATGGGTCAATGAATGATGATGCTGAGGACAAAGATATTTTTATTGGTATGGAATTCATTAAAAACTCTGTTATAGGAAGCACTTCATAATTTTTTTCCCCCTAAACTTCAAAGTTATTTTTAAATGTATCATTTTATAATTCTTAAAGATTAGTAGATGTAATTCTTCCATACTAACTTGGAGTGATTTATCATTTTTTTCCCTTTTTGTATTCTAATACAAATGAAAGTTATTATTTATTATGATATTTATTTACGTAATTTTAACAAGTTGTAAAAACAGGAAATAATACATACCCTGAAGTGTGTAATTTCAGCCCTTTACTGCAGTGATATTCGGGAAATTCTGCTATTATAACAGAATTCCATTAGCAGCTCTTGCTTTGCGTAGTTTGTTTCTGAAAATTTTGGACAATAGTTGAATAGATATTTTATTGATGTATTGTATTTTATATATATGTTCTTTCTGTATTCATATTAAAAAACTTGTTTTGGATTTGATTTTTGCTAGGTTTTTTTCTTTCTTATTATTTTTGTTATTGTTGTTTTATATCTATTTCATGCCTGTAGTACTTGTTTAGGAAATGGTATACTTTATTGCGTTTATTACAATTTGTTCAGTTTCAAAATCTTAACTACATTTGATTCTGAGAAGAAATATTTCATTCCAAATTTTTGTTACTCATTGCTACAGTATTAGTCATGGCAAACAAGAATTAAATTTTTCTTGCAAATAAATGTAAAAATATTATAAGGAAAAACAAGGGCCAAAGCATAATATGTGGACATGTTTGAAGATCATCTTTTTGTTAGTCATAATGCGAGATTATTTGTGCATTTAAATGCCCACTGATATGTATTTAATTACTTACTGTCTTAAAGTATGAGCATTAAATTATGTATATAATACAAGCACAGTTTAATTGTGTACTTTTAAGCTAAGAACACAGGAATCAAGTAATGGAAAATATAGTTAGTAAAAAATAATTGTTTAATGAGATATACATAAAAGTGAAAAACAAAGATGAAAAAAATATGTGCTGAAAAAAGATTGTAAATTAATAAAAATAAGAAATAATCATTCTGAAGTGTCATAGGAAGTTTATTTTTTCATTTTGATGTATATATATATATATATTTTTTTTTTTAAATTCTCTGCTGTAACAAATTCCAAGAGAATCAAAGTATCTACAACTGAAAAAAGTTTGCATGTAATTGTAAATTTAAATTTTATAAATGAAATATTCTGAAATATTCTGCTAATTTTCTTAGAATGTTGCTTGTATATAACCTTGATCCTAATAAAAATATAAATGCCAAAATGTGAATAATAATCTAAAATAAGAATTTTATACACATATTTTACATTTTTTTTAAATGAATTTTTTTCAGTTGTTTTTTTAAAAATTCGTATAATTAATTTGACATGTTTTTTAAAATTTGTATAATTAGTTTGATCGATTCAACTTATAGTTACTTTTTAAATTTCCATAATTAACCTAATCTATTCAACATGATATATTATCGATTCTTAAGCAGATTTAAAGATCTGATAATATCAAATTAGTAAATACTTTCTCCAATTTTGAAATTCTTCTTATTTTATCTGATAGTGTAGTATTTTATTCTATGTGTTGAATGCTTATTGTATTTTATATGATTCAGTTATTAGTACATATTGTTAATTGTGCAGTACTTTCATTTTATTGTAATATGCTAATATTTAACTCCTTAAAATCAGGTGTTATTGTTTTTTCACTGTGGAAGATTCTTATCTTTCCAGAACCTGAGTTGTTGCTGTTTCATTTGTGGAGGTATTTAAGTTGGATACACAAATGATAAAGTGAAAAAAAATTCTCAGCTCTTTGTTAAATAGGTACCATAGATAACCATTTCTCAGATTGTTCTCAGACCTGGTATATAACACACACTGTAATTTCAAAATACATTTTTTAATTTTTAGGTATATTCATAATATAGCACATACTCTTTTCTTTACAAAGAAACCTGAAAGATACATGTCCGATGCTCTTATCTTTCTAAATCATTCATTTGAAGATTTTTCTGAGGCTTTCGAACAAACGTTACAAGCATTCTCTTGCCAAATGAAGAACACAGTACTAGTTTCAAATGCAAAGTCATTCAATTTGCGGACAAAAAAAATTGGAAATCATGCTGCAGCAAGAATGTTTGGTGTTGGTGAAAGCTCCATACATCAGTGGAAGAAAAATGAAATCACAATAATTAATATGTCAAAAAATAAATGTCCTTTGTGAAAGGAGTAATGAAATAGCCTATCTTAGAAGTGTTGTGAACTAGTTCTTAAAAAATCGCCAGAAGGGATTAATTGTAACAAGAAACAGTGTATGTTTATTTGCCTTAATGTCAGTAAACAAATTTCAAATGAATGGGAAAACTTTAAAGCAACTTTGATTTGGTGTAGTTGTTTTATGGCATGGAATAAGGTTCTCTGAGGGGGGGGGACAGAAGTTTCACAAATGGGTCCAAAAGATTTGGGCAACAAATTGTTAAGTTTCCAGAAGTATATTATTGACCTGTGAAGGGAAAAAAAAAAAAAAAAAAATTACTGTCACATATTGGAAACATGGAACTGCAGTAATGTTTGATGTGATAGAAAATTTAAAAAAATCTATGAAAGGAACAAAAATGGTTCACATAAAATCACAAAAAATCCTATCTCACCATAGTGTTTTGCTGTTTAGGGGATAGCATAAAATTAAAACTAATGGTTATTTTTAAAAGTAAGATGATGCCAAAATGTAATTTCCCAAATGGTGTTTTCAGTCATGTTTATTAGAAAGGATGGATGGATGTGGATAAGAAATGTTTGGCAAAACCCTTCTGTTGCCTTAAATAATCCAGAAAGTCTTTTAGTTGGGACATGTTGAGATCCCATCTAACAGGAAATAGAAAGAAATTTGTCAAAGAGTGTAATACAAACATTGCAGTTATTCCAGGTGGATTAACACCATTAGTTCAACCTTTAAATGTGTGTATCAATAAACCATTCAAAGAAAATTTAAAACGACAGTGGAGTATGTGAATGTTAGAAGGTGAAAAAACATTTACAAAAGGAGGCCAAATGTGTCATGCCAGTGTAGAAATAGCATGTGAGTGGATAATAAAAGCATGAACTGAAATTAAACCTGACTTAATTCAAAAGTCGTTTAAAAGATGTAGTGTATCTAATAATCTAGATGGAAAAGATAATTATTTATTTATAGAACGGAGTAACAGTGATAGTGAAGGTCAAATAGAATTGGATGATGTGCCGGAATATGTAACGGAACATGAATATGACGATAATGCTATTTGATAATGAAAATTTTTAAGCTTGGAAATCTTTAAGAAAATAACATGTAGGTACATATATAAATCTAATTTTTGTATCCTCATCTTTACCTTATTTTTAGATCTATCATTTTTATATCTGACGTTTAACGTACACACGTAAATTTAGATCTTATTTTTTGTATTAAAAATGTGCCTTACACATTGGAAAGTATGGTAATTTTTTTCTTTGTGAAATACATGCAAATGTTTTTACTGCCCTTTTAATTTATGATGGAATAATATCGTAGCATATATGTATATTTTTTTTAATATTTTGTATTGCTGTTTTGAACAGCTTGTTTTAAATGTGTGATTTTATTTTGTACTTTGAATTTCTGGGGATTGATTCTTAAAGACATATCATAACTGTTTAGGTTTAAAACTTTTCTAGATTTTCAACTGTAAAGATCAAATTACAATTTTATTTTATTCATTTGTTACTGATAGAAGTAAGATTAAAAATAAAATGATTTTCAATTTATTAATGACCAAATTTATATTTTGTAACCTGAATTATTTTAAGTCATGAATGTTGTATAAAATTTTATTAATATCTCTATTATCTAAGCAAATATTGCACTGTTCATTTATGTTTTTGAAATGGTTTGCTGAAAATTTATGTTCAATGTTATCTTAGTTTTGCAAATATATATTATGTATTTTTTATATATGTAGTTTTCAAAGTAGTTCTTTACCTTTCAGGTCATTATGAAATCCCAGATTATGCCAATCGGGCATTTTCTCCTCTTTTACAAATTGGTTCAACTTATAACAATGTCCCTCACAAGCCAGTTATTCCAAAACCTAATCCAGGAGCTATCCATGACTGTTTGGCATATGACACAAATACTACCATGCTTTATTATTGCCGAGCAAAATATTCACTTTTACTTCCATTCATGAAACCAAAGGAAACATTGTCATCAGTGTCAGTGCAAACTGAAGATACACCCGAGATGAGTTTATTTCTGTCTTGGTTTCTTGCACTTCTACTGTTCTTACTTTTTGGAATTTTGGTTAGTTTGGTTATCTTCTTTTATTTACAGGTAAGAATTTTTTTCTGTGCTGTTTTTTATGTAAATATAGAAAACTGTATCATTAGAGTTATGTACATTAAAGAAGATAAAATCAGAGTTTATTTTGGCAGACTTGATCTAAAAAATATATTATTGTATTAAATATTTTTTGAACTAAGCTATTTTAATGGTGAAATATAGTGGGAATCATTTTATGTGTAACTCTTTTCATATTTTAATGTTTGAAAAATATCAAAGATTAAGATGTGCAAGTGAATTGAACACACAGATTTATTTAGAAAATACCATGAATAACTTATATTTAAATTTTTGTTTTCTAAATTCTGTAGAGTTCCTGTTTTCTGATATAACAGGAATTAATGATATTTAAGGTCAAAGTAAGTCTTAAACCATTCAAATAAAAAGAAGTGGGTGAAAAATATCACCAATTTGTATGATATGATAAAAATTTTAATCCGTTTTGCTTTGTTTTCCTCCATAGGGAATTCAATATTTTATGAACACATAAAAAAGTAGATAATAACATTTATTGTTGTACCAGATTATTTATTATGAAGTTATGTTTAAATAAGTTTTAAAGGTAAAAGTGTTTATTATTACAGTTACATATTATTATAATGATTGTTCTCACTCTAAAATTAAAAGTAAACTAATACTAATTAGAAAATAAAAATAACTTATAACACATTTTATATTTTTGAACTTTTAAAAAATACTTTAGACTTTTCTTGATTAACAAAAAGGGTTTCCACCTCTTCCTTGTAATAATATCAGCAATTGATATATCATGGCAAATTCAGGAGATGTAATATGTTCCTGTTGTTTTGTATTTAGAATCGCTGTTTTGATCACATGGGATCATTTAGATTATGTGAGAAATCTTGTATGGATTTTCTACATGTTTGGTGCAAAGCTTTTAAGAGTTGCAAGAAAAATCGTCTATTGTATTTACAATTTTTCTTGAATAATGAGACCTAGTTAATCAGGATTATACTTTGTATATATATTTTTTAGAATAGAAAATCATAAAATTCTTGTATAATAAATTTTGTATCAATTTCTGAATTCTGCTATTTTAATTTAGTAAGATTTGTGTTTAGAGTGCTGTAACATTACTTATTTATTATTTCAGGCACAGAATTCTCGTGTCAGCGTTATTTCTTATTCTAGTAAGTTTTATTTATGCATGTAAGAAATTGGGAATTGATTTCTTAAATTTATTCTAGCATAATTTTGCTAAATTTTCTTGATAAATTTTATTTCATAATTAAAAAAATGATGAGAAGTTGTGTAAAAGTTTTTTATATATATATATATTTTCAGCGTTATCTGACAATCACATACAAGTTGGCAAAATTTCTTTTAATCCTTGTGATATTCTTGGACATGGTTGTTATGGCACTTTTGTGTACAGGTAAAAAATTTAATGCATTCTGGCTATAGTTACAAAATGTGTTTAACTTGTAATATACTAAATTTCCTGTATGACAATAATTATTTTCCAAATGAAATTCTTCTTATAAACACCTCAGTAATGTTTGGTGTTTCAAAAGGAGTTCTTATTGATGAGTTAAATCACGCTTTTCTCCCTATCTTACTAGTATATTTTAAACATTGATCAGAACTTGCTACTAGAAATTCAGAATACAAAAGCATCAAAATTTAATTTTTATAATCCCACTAAGTTTCTTATTTTTCATTGAAGTGGGAAAGTGTAGTAAATTTCACCCACCACCTAATTATTTGATTTTAATTGTAGTGATGAAATTGAACTGTAGTTTTTGAAAAAAGATCCCAAAAATGCTGTACTCAGTCATTTTTTTGGATTTTGGATGAGGATATTTAGAGTTTTTCCCATGGCCTATGTCAACAGAACAGCTATCTTTTATCTCTTTTCCAGCATTAAAAGAAAATTAAAATTGCCACAGCATTGTAAATTATCTTATATTAAGAATAGTAGTATAAACTTTTTAAATTTAATTTTATGTCTTTGAGTGCTTGCATTTTATTAATTTTAAATACTTTTTTCTGTTTTAGGGGTACATTTGAAAATAGGAATGTAGCTGTTAAAAGAGTGCTACCAGAATGTTTTAATTTTGCTAATCGAGAAGTTGATATGTTAAGAGAATCTGATGAGCATCCTAATGTTATTCGATATTTTTGTATGGTACGTTATGTTTTCCAGTTTTATTTTATGTGCGTGATCATGCATAGTCAGTCAAATGAATTTATCTGTGTAAGCTTTTTTTTTGAAAAAAATTACTTGGTGTAAGTAGGCCAGTTATTTAACATTTGTTTTTTCCTGTCTTGATAGAAGATAGAAATTTCCATGTTCCATAGTTTATTTTTGTTATATACATGTATATTCTATATATAGTTCATTGTATATCTTACTAGGAGCAAGACAAACAATTTCATTACATAGCATTAGAACTATGTGCTGCAACATTATGCGATTATGTAGAGGATGAAAATTTCAAGCGCAACAATTTGGATCCGCTTTCTCTTCTTCAACAAGCAGCATCAGGGCTTGCTCATCTACATTCATTAGACATTGGTATTTAATTAAATTATATTTTTCTGTGCTATAATACCAGTATATTACATCTACATGTAATTTAGATTATTTGTTAGAATTGAGGTTTAAGGTTACTTCTTATATTTTTGTTTTTTGTTTCAAATTCTTTTTATTAAGATTTTAAATGAATGAAAAGTTCAGAGTTAAATTAAAATTGCTGCCAGAAAAGTTAAGTAATAATTTGATAAATTTACTTGACATCGCTTGTTCCTGAGAAAGAGTATTCTTCAGAGATATGCATGTCACTATTTATGATTGCATAAAAGTATGTGCATGAAACTGAAGGGAGACTTAGATAGAGAGGAAAGTTAAAACATGTCTTTGTAGCAAATCTAACTTGAAAGCATTAAAAAACTTACTGTAACTTATTTATGCAAAGCTTCCATATAGAAAGTGAGTTGGAAATCTACAAAAATTTAAAAATTTCATTGAAATTGAAGAAAAAATTATTAGATTGAAAAAGGGTTTGCTTTGTAAATATTGTCGATGTAAGATTCTTCTTTTCCCTGACAAAACTTATTGATTAAATAAATGGCATTCAGCTAAGTGCTATATAAAGGAGGAAGTTACGAGAAAACTTAGATAATTATTTATAAATTCTATTAGTATGACTAAATAATAAAATCATGTAAAATAAGTAAGTTTTTATGGCTTTATTAACTTTCTCTTAGAAACATTTGTTATTGAAGAATTTTTGTTGAGAGTAACCATAAGGAACTTTGACAAAAAAATTTTCTGAGAAAAATATGAAAAAGGGGAATGTAGGTTTTATCTCATTATTTGTTCTGTGTTACTGAACCTTATTAGATGACTTATTTATTTTATACAATTTATTACCTAGTAGATATCCATTTAAATGAAACACTGTTTTTAACATGCATAAATAATGTTTCAATGCAGTGTCATTCAAAATTCAAAAAATAGTATCTCATGTAGGTATTGAGACAAAGCATTCTATAGTAATTAGGTAATAGGGTATTCCTTTATTTATGTGACATATCCACAGTATCTTGAATCTTAATCTATATGAATGGAAATCTCAAAGCATTTTATAGTGATTAGGTAATAGGGTATTCCTTTATCTCTATGACATATCCTTCACAGTATCTTGAACCTTAATTTATATGAATGGAAATCTCATCAGCTTTTCCTAGTAGATACTACACACAGGGAGACATTTAGCATGTGGGCTTTGTCGGAATTTGCATAGAAGATTTTCCCATCGTTTAACAAGGAATAAAATTCAAAATTAAAATCTTAATGATTTAAAATAGTCCCCCCTAAAGAAAATCAAGTACAATTTAAATTACTCAAACTCCTCTCATCAAAAAGAAAAATATTAAAAATGGGCTATATGTTTTAATTCTGTAGCCCTCATTTTTAGTAGATGACCCCCTAAAAATTGTAAGTTTTCAAATGCCAGCCTAATTGTTTTTAGCGTGAATTAGTGAAGTTCATATTCTGATTATCTGGTGAGATATTCCAATGATTTTTTGAATGAACTCAGTACAGCGTGCTCAGGCATCTGTGCTTAATTATAGTTCTGAAAAAATTTTAAAAAAATGAGAGGAATAATTTGTTCATAAGTTACTATACATGTGTTGAGTCGGAATATGTCTGATAACTGTGGAATACTTAAGCTTGTTCAGTGCTGTTTTCCCATCAGCAGAACCACTTGACTGTTAGCATAACTATATATATTCAATTTAGGCCATTGCTTTATTCTTATATAGAACTTTCAAAAAGCTGGAATTGTATTGGTTTATGATTCCTTGAAACTGCACTTGATGCAGGTGTTATTACATTTGAAGACCGAAATTATCACTTCAGAGGATGTATCATATCGAATTTGCTACATTCGGACCTCACCGGTATACGGTAGGTCGAAAGAGAGGAGTATATGTACACGCTGTCATTGCAAAAGGAAGTGTTCCACAAATAAATGCAGTTGTAAAAGCAAGGGCATCTTGTGCAATTCAAAGTGTCATAAAAGTTTAAATTGTTGCAATAAATAAGATTTGAATAACATAATTTAAGTTTTTAATTATTTCCTTTCTCCCCTTTTTATTAGTTTTCTATTATTTTCCTTTCTCATTTTGAATGTACTGTGTGTTTTAGCTTCTTATTTTAAGTCTCAAGTGCGTTTTTTCGCTACTGAAGTACGGAGAAGAAAATATCATATTCTTATATGTTCAACATTCACCATTAGTCTATGGTGAATGTCGACATTTACCGATGTAAGTGAGAAATAAGAGTATTTGGAAAATATTTCGGATATACACCAAGCGACTATGTGAATGTTGACATTCATCGGTGAAAGTCGACATTCTCCAGATTTCGGTGTTTCACCGTAACATATATATTTCTTATTGAGTGTAGTATACCAATTAAATTTTTACATTTTTATGTATGTGTTATGTATTATTTATATGTAATGCTATGTGTAACATTATGCATAGTGCTGCTTAGTTTTATCTTGGGGTACATTTCGGAACATATTACTTTGGCTATGTGGATGATGCTATACATTTTGTTATATAGTACTGTCAGGAGAATAATTTTTGGGGTTTTCTACTAAATTTTCATCATTAAAAGTTAGTTTTATTTATTGTTAGTTGTATTATCATCATCATTACCTAGTTTTATTTATTATTAGTTGTATTATCATCACCACCACTACCACCGTCATCATCATAAGCATTATCATTATCAGGATAGTCAATGTTTTTGTCAGTTTTGAAGATAGCATATCGGTTATCGATCCAAAAATATTTTGAATACATATTTTCTGTGTATTATAAAATTATAGTTAATTAATGATTTTATGAATCCTCTAGTTTCATATCTATTGCATGTACCATGCATCTAGCTCATATTTCAAATTAAATGTATGCAAAAAACCTGTTATGTATTTTGATAAATCATTCTGTTTTATATTGTCTTTGATTGAATGCTTCAGTTCACAGAGATATCAAGCCGCATAATGTTCTTATTTCAATGCCTGGCCCTTCAGGAGAAGTAAAAGCTTTAATATCAGATTTTGGTATGTGTAAAAAGCTAGCTAATGGTCGGATATCATTTTCAAAACGATCTGGGACTACAGGAACTGAAGGGTGGATAGCTCCTGAAATGCTGCAGGGAGGAGAGAGAACTGTGAGTATGAATTTTATGACTGGCGAACTATGTAGTGTGTTATTGATGAATAATACTAATAGAATAGTGACAAGTGTATGTTACATATAAAAGTAAAGCATTCTTGTGAAACATTATGTAAGCTGAAATTTCTTTAGAAGCAGTTATTATTAATGTATACAGGAAATATCTTTAAGTCTTAGTAGACTTCCCATAAATCTTTATATTATCATACCAGATAGCTAAAATAATATTAAAAGGAAGAATGATGTGTTAAAAATTTCTCATATAAATAGGATTAACATGTGTTCATTTCACACTCATTTTCCAATACTGAAAGTAGGTAAGCACTCAGTAAACAATAAAGAAAATTTAAAGATGGTGGCAGTAATGGCAATGTATTGAAATGTGTTGTTCAAGATTCTTCAGTAAGAAATTACAGAAGATTGTTATGTAAAACAGTAATGCAGATTATTTGTCATATCTCATTACCATGCATATCATGTCTCAACAGCAGTCAGAGTAGTTGTAATTTTTAAAACTGCTTGAACCGGTATCAAAAGTCAGAGTTTGTCTTTTCTGACTGATGTAGCACTGGATGATGTGAAAGGCTTGAATGATTATATGATTCATTGCTTTAAACTGATGCACTTTTTTCTATCATGTGGTTAATCATCATAGTTCAAAATTTACTGCAAACTATATAAAATCTGTATACTGCCCCAGAATTAAAGTCACTGTCCTTTTTTTTTCCCTCATAATGTAAAATAAGTACTAAATGATATTTTGTAAAAGCAAAAATGGTTTAAATTTTGATATTATATTTTTATGATATAATTTATTATTCATTTAGATTTTAAAAGAGTTATTCTTCAAAACAAAATTATCTTAATAATTAATTTTTTTTTTCTAGCAGCAGCGGTGACAGGGCTTTCTTTTGTTATGAATCATGTTGATTATAATCTTACTTCTCATTTTAATTTATGCCGCTTGACATAAGCATACTAAACCTCTAGACATACTAACTTGTTACATACTAAACCTGTAGACTGAGCAAATATGTGACAAAAATTAAAAACCATGAAGCTAACTAACTGTTTGTAAAACATAAATAAAATGTCACTTATCTTCTTTTGTATATACCCAACTATTATAAGTGTAAAATATTTAATGCTACTTGATACAGTTTATAAAGTTGATTTTATTCTCAAACTTATTAATAAGTTTGTTAATTAATTCATGTTTAATAATAATTCATCTTACGGATCTATTTTATTTCTAAGAAGGTATTACAAAAGTGAAGTTCAGGCATAGATAATATTTTTAATTGAATTTATTCAGTTCCTGTTTGCTCATAGGTCCTTCATTTTTTTCATTAATTGTCCTTAAAAGTCCTTAAAATTACTTAATTTCCGTGTGCAGAAATGTGTACGAACCCTGCCAGTGCAACCTTGTATTTATATCTTTGTTCAAGAAGAATAAACATCCCTGAATCCTCTGAGAAAAATTGATGTTAGGGCTCCAAAAATACATATTCTAGAGACTTCCAGAATGCTAGCTAGTTGTCAAGAAATCACTCAATATTCCCAACTTGACTATTAAATTATTGTCAAAAATTATTGTCAGTGCTATGTCCCATATCTTTTGTTCTACTAGAGCTGTTCTTACTTGAATTAATCACATGCAAACAAAATAAGTGGTCACAAATTCAAAATTAAATAAAATAAACAATGTATAAACATAAATTTATTATACAAAATACATTAAATCAATAAGCAAAAACATACAGTGCAGAAGTACATAAGAAACAAATTACAAATAAACAAAGACAAATATTTATATAAATCACCATAATATTTGTATAATTTCTGTTATTTATTTGTTTTATTGCTAAAAAATAACTTTACATTATCTAAATAGGTTGAAACTCCTTATTTTTATAATGTTGATCTGCCTTATAAAATGTATGCAAATAGCAATCGCTTTGTGTTTCAGCAAAGTGGAATATAAATGACCAGTTTCTTGCTGATAACTGTTGTTTAGCCATCATGTTTTAAATCAGAACTTTTAAATAAATATATGGATATTAGAAATAATTCCTTTAGATTGATTATTTGAAAATTTATGCATGTGTGTATGTATTATAACTCCTAGTTTTCTTTGTTAAATTGATCTATTTTTGTTAATAGTGTCATTTATTTGATTTTCCTGGAACATAAGAATTCAACTTAATTAATATAAACAGAAGTTATAATATTTAGTATAAATAGGAACTGCTTCCCTTTTTAGACATGTGCTGTGGATACATTTTCCTTGGGACTGGTGTTTTATTATGTATTAACTGGAGGCAAACATCCATTTGGTGATCCAGTTCGAAGGCAGGGAAATATTCTTAATCAAGAGTACTGCTTAGATGATTTAGATGAAAAAAGTATGACGCTCTTTAATGCCTCATATTTAGTTCAGTTTGTAATGTTATATGTGTAATCTTTTTTTGGGGGGGGGTCATTTTTATTTCCATGATTGATGATTTTTAATTCTACTGATTATTTATGTTATTGTTGATTATTTTACATTTTATTTCATAGAGTTATTTCTTTTATGTTGTGTAGAAGTTTTTGTTTCCGATAAAAACTATGGAGCTTCTGTATTTGTAACTTGCTCAGTTTAATATTAGCACAAATATTCAGTATTATGTCATCTTGTGGATTATTAATAAGCTTTTGTGGAATAACTATCAAATTAATGTTAAAGTTTACATGCTTGAAATTGCATTGGCTTAATCAGTTCTATTTCAGCCTTTCCAGCTAATCTGCTCATTTCATTTTGAGATCGGCAAACCTTCTCAGTTATTTTGTGATTTTTAATTTTTTTTTTAATATAAAGTGTAATATTTATTACTTAGTTTATATCTGTTATTATAATAAAAAGAAAAGCTAATATTCTTAGATACTGCATAAAGTGGAATTTGATCTTAACTTATGGATGACTTGGACTTGTAATGTCTGTAAATTCAGTTATGGGGGAATCAGAAATGTCAGTAAACTCTTAACTTGGGAGGGATTCAGAATATATTTTAAAATAAGATGATAATTGGTAATACATGTTGTATCATTAATTCTATTATACACTGATAATAGTTTCATTTTATTTTAATAAAATAAACCATAAATTTTGTTTTATAATTAAAAATAGTTTTTTGAAATTTTATTTTCATACATTGAGAATTAAATGAAGATTCAACGATTAATTTTAGACCCTGTTTAAATAAAAATTTATTTCATTGTTTTATTTTATTTGAAATAAAAAGGGTTTGTATACTTTGTTAAAAACAAATAGTAATAATAATAATAAAACAATCTAAAAGCTTTCAGATTTTACATTACGCACAAAAGGGCTTTTTTTTAACGTTTTGTGTGTTACCTTTATTTACTAAATATCATGTTCTTTGCACTTAAACCATAAAATTCTGTTCAACAGCAGTGTCGCAAAATAATTTTAAAAGGAGCATATCGTTAGAATTTCCAATACACAGTTCTGTGTGCTGGAGATAAAAAGGTTTTTTCTGTATAACGTTGCCATGGCTCACTTTGAAATCCTTGAGTTGGTTAATCAAAAATTCGTTAAAGATTTACAAAATATGAAATCGATCGTGTTGCCGTTGCTCGCTTTTAAATTGTTGAATTTGTTTATGAAAAATTCGTTTTCATAAACAAATTCAACAATTTAAAAGTTTTCAACAATTCGAAAGTTTGACAAAATATGAAATCGATAATAAAACCAATTCCAAATTGCAAATTTGGGATTTCAGATGTCCATATTTGCAGTGGGATTATGTCATTCAAAATTGGATGGCTCCTGATACCATTGTTTTATCACAATGCGAGAAACATACATACATTTATGCAGATTCTTCATTATTTAATTTCTTCAAATATGATGCAATAGTATTTGGTGGCAATAGGGTTCCAACGCAAAATCGCAAAACAAAAACAATTGTCCTTCAGGAACAAAGCCCCTTTGTACTAAAAAAGTAGTAATAATTTCATCATTTTGTAGGAATAAGTGTGTTTTACATTTTATTAAAAGGAAACAGAAATATTTTCTTCTTCTTCACTCTATAATGTTTGTTGAAATAGAACAAGATAAACAAAAGAATAAAAATTTCTTTTCTTGCATTACAATAAATACATATTTGACCTGCAGTATTGCACTAAATTTTTATCACTTCCATCTTTAAATCTGACTGTCTTCAAGGCATAATTGTGAAGCACATCCAGGCTAACATTCATAAGGTCCAGAATTCAACATGGTGTTACTGAATTTTCATGCTTCCTACTCTGAAATAAATCAAATTCTAAGTATCAGCTGAGCAGATATTTTTGTAAAGAGATCATTCTGAGAAATCTTTTTAGCACATTTGTATTGCAATATTATTATTCTGAGGTTATGACCCTCCTTAGCTCCCTCTTCTTTTGCATAATCTCTCCTGCTCTCAGGTGATTTCTTAAGTGGTATATATGCCTTGATATTTGGTGGAATTCCAATTAATATTTTATAACTATATATTTTTTGCTGTATTCTTGAAGTGAATTGAAAGTTTGAGAAAAATGTATCAAGGGCTGTATGCAGTCTGTGGGTGCAAGTTTGACATACCTACTTTAGAATCATAATCTAAAAATTATACAAAAAGTGAAACTGCAAATATTTTTACTTTTCAATGATTACAAATAATATTACAAGTTCGTTATGTATCTGTCAGTGTTTTCTAGAGCAAGAATTTTATAAGATTCTATGACTAAGATTTTCATTTAGAAAACCTTTATGTTGATCAATACTTTCACAATGATCTACATCGAAATACTCATAACTTAATCTCTTAACATCAAGAATATTTTTCTAAACTGATATTTTATTTTTAGTCATATGCAGAGGCAAACATTTTACTCTTTAATTTGTGTACAGCCCCTGAATATGAATTGATTTTAAGGTCAATTTTTGTCATATGGGAATCTCATATTTTGTGTTAATTTTTGTGATAAGTACAAAATTTTCATCCTTTACAAAAATTTTTAATGGTGACTGAAGAAATATATGAAAAATTTTAACAATAAATTTCTTTAAGTTTAAAAATGCCCAAACTTGAATGTTTGCATAATTTAGAACATTTATATAACTGGAAGTATATATCTATGATCAACAGTTGTGAAAATAAAGGCCAAGTAAGGAAGTTTTTTGATATGATATATATTTCCTGCTGTTGTTTTATAATAATAATTATGTAATTAGAGTATACGAAATATTAATAAATGCTTGTATAGTTTTTTTTCCTAATTTTTGAGATTTTGATTCTGCTTAGTCTTTATATTAATAAAATCTAATTATAAGTTTTTATACTGGAAACATCTGTATAAAAATCATTTATATTTGAAAAGAAGGAACTGTATATATACCTAAAATATAGTTTCTTAATGTGGGTATTATTGCTAGGGGCTGTTACTGGATTAAGGGGCAAGAAACAGTATTGAAAAACCTGTGCGCAATTAAAAACTTATGAAGAAAATTTCGTTGTTAAGTTTTGGTTTAATTTCTGAAACAAATTTTAAATTTTGACTTGATTATATAAATAATACAATCACATATCTTTACAAGAAAATTATACCAAATTAAGTCAGTTGTCCCTTTACCCAGTTGATCCAAGTTGCGTGAAGTTTCATGTCCCCCTCTTTCTTGCACGAAAGGATATGAATTTCACAAATTATCAGTCTAACATTCTAATTACAGGATCACAAATCTGTTTTTACAGTGATATCCAATACATCAAAATAACTATATCGTTGTGCATATTGTGACAGAAATCACTGCATGCTTTACAGGTTCATTGCTTTAGATGTATTGAGAATTCTTTAACCATTTCCATATTGTTTAATAAGTTTTAATATTTTAATGCAGTGCAAGTGTAATGAGAACCTAAAAAAATTATATATTTTTAGTCAGTGCTTACAGATTATATTAAAAAGAAAGAGAAGTGGGATGTGGAACAAATTCAAGGAGTTACTGATAAAAATGAAGTTCAAAAAGAGTCACTAAGCCAAGAAAAGTTGGAAAACTGTGGTCTAAAACATATATATATATATACAGTCAAAAGTCATTAATTCGGACACCCATAATGCGGAATGATCTATAATCCGGACCTCAAAGCTACAAACTTTCTGTGCGTGCGTATAGCAATTTACGCATGCGCGTAAGTCCTTTACGTCTGCGAATATGCGTTTGCGCATTTAATGTATAACGGACGGTATAAGCTAAGCTAAAATTATCTAATTCAGTTAATGTTGCAGATTGCGTTGTTCCTAATCTTCGAATTGGATCCGGCTTATTATTTTGCAGACTGTTAGAGCAATTTTATAAAAGTAAGCTTGAACTTTCGATTATGTCAAATACAATTTCCGATATATATTTACTAATATGTAAAGGATTTACAAAGCGAAAGTATGTTTCAAAGTTCATTAAACAAAAAGTGGAATTGCTGCAAAAAATGGATAAAGGAATATCCTTTGTTTCTCTAACCATTCCGAAATCTGTTTATCAATTTCACACTGCTCTGCGGCGGCAGGGGAGGGGGGAAACGCTGCGGCGCGCAATGAATTGGAAGTTGATCTGTCAGCACTATCCTTATCTTCAGGGCAGATGTTTTTATTTTATTTGGCTTATCATTCCTTACTAAATGTAGTATTTCATCTCGATGTACTCCATCTTTGATATGATTTAAATCAAATTCCTCGTCATTATAATTCGCTTCTGATAGTGAAGAAAATGACACAGAGGCTATTTGTCATGACGTGATGACCACGCATGTGCAGTTTAGCCGAATGGCCTGCAACGCCTCTCTCTCATGAAAACTGACTAGAGAAGAGTAGTTAGTAGGTAGTAGCGAAGTAATGAAGGAAACGTATTGTATGTCAGCTTAGATGCAAAATACGAAGTTATACTTGTGTGTTAATCGTTTGTACTTATTATTTTTATTTGTGTGTTAATAAAATTTCGTGCCGTAAAAATGGCTGTTTTATGCAACGCACACAATACTATACGTCTACGGTAGGACATAAATACATATCCAGAAGCTACACGCCCAAGAAAAAGAAGGATATGACAGTGGTGTCAGAACAGGAGGATATGTCATTCTGCAAAGTTCACGGATAAATGCGTAAGTGAGTCTTCAGAAAGGTAAGAAATTTGTTGAATTTATTTTGTGGTAAAGTGGAATTCAAGGTTACAAAAATGTCTGAAGAGCTAACGAAATCTAAGAAAGAACGGAAAGTTATGCGTTCAGCCATTACTAAAGTAACAAATGCTATTGAATCATTAATTGCAGCCGGTAACCTTGAAGACCTTGAAGAATCACTGGAAAGTTTAAAAGTAAAATCTATT